AGGCAGAGACATCTTCCTTCTGCTGGTTTACTCCACAGATGGCTGCAAGGGCCAAGGCTGAACCTGGCTAAAACAAGAAATCTGGAACTCCATATGGGTCTCCCACATATGTGGGTCCAGGGATGCAAGCACTTGGGCCATCTTCTGCTGCTTTCCCAGATGCATTAGCGGGGAGCTGGACTGGAAGTGGAGAAGCCAGAACTCAAACCGGTACCCATTTTGGATGCTAGTATTGCAGGCTGGTGGCTTAACCTGCTTTGCCACAATGCTGGCCCCTCAGACACAATTTTTAAAAAATTGTGTTTTTGATCTGTAGTTGGTTGTATCTGTGGATGGAGAACCCACAGTTACAGAAGACCAACTGTGACAATCACAACATTAAAGGCAACTTCACAGATTCCCTAGCCTTGCTGGTCACTTCACAATCTCAAGATTGTCCAATTACACTCTATTTTCTTTGCACCATTTGGATAGAATCAAGTATTCTAGGGTCTCTGTGTCTTAAGTCTCCTTTGCTTTGTGTAGTCCCAGGACTTTTTACTTGGTTGTCCTCCTCCATTTCAGACTTAGAATGTCTACAAATTTCTTTCCCTAGAATGACTGTCCTGATCTTGTCTGTCTTCATTTTACTGGATCCTCTCAGTGAAACAGACTCAGGTCTGGGTTTCCACGCTCTGTCAGTCTGAGGGTCAATCTTCACTACACTTCCTTTCTAACACAGGCCCAATTAATTGAGGTTTCATGACCTCAGATTTGGACTATTCTTCCTATTCTTCACATGCCATCAAAATTCTCACCCATTATTGCCCTTCTTTAAAAATCAGATACCACCTCAACTCAATCAGAATCTGCATTTTTAGTAAGATTCCTGGCACATGGTAGTCGAAAGAGCTGTATGTGAAGGGGCTTGGTCAAATACTTTGCATTTATTATACTGTCTACTCTTAGCAATCCTATGAATTAGGCACTAATATTATCCCAGGACACATGGGCAAATTGAGGCTTAGCCAGAATAAGAAAGTTGCTTCAGGTCACAGGCTAACACTCAGGATACCACGAGGGAATACCTATGAGGGAACAAAAAAAAAAAAAATGAATGGGCAGGCAAGAGAGGCCAGTCTATTAAGTTGAATTCTGGAGGAAGAGTAGGAGTTAGGGAGGCTAAAGAAAAGAGGTGCAGGGTCTGGTGCTGCTATGGCCTGGGAAAGCTGTAGAAGATGGGCCCTTGTACCAGTGTGTGAGACCCGGCTTCAGACCAGCCCAGCTCTGGCCTCTCTGTAACTCTGCCTTTCACTGTATTTTAAATAAAAAAAGAAAAGAGGAGAAGGATATCATAGAGATGAGTTAAGAGTATGTGCAAAGGCTCTGAGGTGGGAAAGAAATGGTACCATTCCCAGAACAGAGAGGAAGACATATGGGTGTAAAGCATCGACAGTCAGTAACATGTGCTGCAATAAAGGTTTTCATTTTTTTTTTTTTTTTTTTTTTTTTTTTTTTTTTTTTGACAGGAAGAGTGGACAGTGGGAGAAAGAGACAGAAAAAAAGGTCTTCCTTTGCCGTTGGTTCACCCTCCAATGGCCGGCGCGGGCGGTGCTCTAACCCCGACTCACCCCGCTGATCCGATGGCAGGAGCCAGGAGCCAGGTGCTTTTCCTGGTCTCCCATGGGGTGCAGGGCCCAAGCACCTGGGCCATCCTCCACTGCACTCCCTGGCCACAGCAGAGGGCTGGCCTGGAAGAGGGGCAACCGGGACAGAATCCGGCGCCCCGACCGGGACTAGAACCCGGTGTGCCGGCGCCGCTAGGCGGAGGATTAGCCTAGTGAGCCGCGGCGCCGGCCTGCAATAAAGGTCTTTGCAACTTGCTTGGGAATCTCGCTTTAATTTTCATTGAATGTCAAAGGGAACATTGACAGCATAAGTGTGTGACTACTATAAGGAGAATGGAATGAAGAGAAGGAGAGGAAGAGAAGCAGTAGGCTGGTTCCAAGGGTCTGGGTGGGATGGGGGTATTTTTACTAGGGAAGTGCAATAAAAACAGTGACAAAGATGAGATGAGGCTGAGCTTTTGCTTCAAAATTGAAGTGATAGGTTTTGGGAGTGCTGTGGTCCATCTCTGATTATTGAGCAGGGGCTTCCTCCCTCTCTCCCTCTTTCCACCCCTCTTCTCTCCCCTTCTCTGATCTATGCCTTTCTGATGCACTACCCTGTGTTGTCTTAGCGATGCACATGATCAAAGTTCTCAGCTGTTTCTTACAGTCCAGAAACATTGATCTTATAAAAATTCCAGATCCAGTGAAGAACAGCTAGTGTCCTGTAACATATCTCAAGTGACAGCATGGAATGACAAGAATAGGGTGTTTGTGTTCGGCTCAGCTCTGCCTTGATTTCCGGTCTCAGAACAGGAGCCCCACACTCCTTCCTGGACCAGTTCAAACAAAGAAACACTCACCTTCCACTAGTTCTGCCTAAGCCTGTCAGGACCAGCACACCCAGACACTTCTGCCTTAATGGCTCAGTGAGCGAGGACAGCCACAAAAGGATTTTCTCAGCTGTCTCAGGGCCCCCAATGTCTACCAAGAGAACACATTCCTTTGCGTCAGTGTTAAGATGTCATATTTCTTGTTTGTTTGTTTTTATTGTTTTTATAGCATGTCCTTCAGAAAGTAGAAGATGGATGGAATGGGGTTAAAAAACCATTTTCCTTCTACCCTAAAACCATATTTCTAGACAGTCACATACAGAATGACTTGTAGACCTAGGATCCTTCTCTGCCTGCTAGCTGAGAAGGTTTCAGAGATTTGAATTCAGAGCTACTTGCAAATACTTGACAGGTTTCACACCCACTGATAGTTGTGCATTTACACTTTAATACCAAGAATATTTTTTAACCATAAAGATGTACGCAACTCTGCCTCAGAGTAGGTTCTTTTTCATCACATTTATTTTTCTTTCCTTGGAGGTAAAAGCTCTGCTCTTATCCCTCGCATCGCTGTCATTTACCAGCTGGGCCGATTGTAAGTGGGAACCCCCTCTCATGGGAGGCTGCATAATGTCTCTCCCCTGAAGACGGCTTTCTTGCAAGATGCACATGGAATCACATGGTGTTGGCAGAGCTTCTTTCTGTTGGCTGAGGCATCTGTGGTTTGCTGTCTGTTGTAAGGGATTTTAAACACTAAAGATTACCCTATCTTTCTGTTTCTTTCCTGTAACATTTTACACAATTTTCTCAAAAGGTGGCCACACTTTTTAGACCATCTCTCAATTTCTCTCCTCTGTCTCTGTCATCTTTGGTGAAGTTTTTCTCTGTAAATTTTTAAATATTTAAAAATCTGATCAGACATTCAGTGATCTTAGGCTGCAGGAAGAGTTCTTGCAACCTTCTGTATCTATTCTTGAGTTTTCCTCTTCTAGAGAGGTCCTGATGGTACAAGTATACTCTGGAATTCCAATTGTTCTTGACATGAGCAGCAGATTCCTTGATGAAGATTTAGTGGGATGTTGCTTTTGAATTCATTTATACTGCTCCTTGCTTACCATTTCCGCAAGCACATACCTGGCACCATTGATTCATGGACAGTGAAGAGTTGCCGAGGGGTCTGGAGTTCCTCCAGTTTTGCTCATGTCCATTACATGTGGGAAACCTGACCCAGAGGGATCGTGGGGCTTACACAAGGTCTTATGAGGAGACAATGGGATGAACAGAGCCTCTGTTGCTGAGGCCCTGGTCTTTCACCACTGAAATAGCTGCAAGCAGTCATCCACAACTAATTTATAGATGTCCTTCTCCTGCTCTGTGCTTTTCTCTTTCTATGCAAACATCCCACTTTCTGTTTCTTCCAATTTGCTTTATAGCACCTGAGAACCATACCCCATGGTTTCTTTGACCCTCTTCTCAAGCTGCTTTGGCCAAAGCACTTGCAGTGTGATGGCAGGGTAGGCCAAGGATATATGAATAAATGGGTTGCTGGTTACGCATACACCACTGAGCTTTCTTTTCCTACAAAATGTACCTGTACACCTCTTCTTTCCCACCCTGAAAGCATTCAGTCCATGCTGACATTGTAGAGGCTTCTTGAGCAACCAGACCAAGGCTCAAGTGAAGCATGACCCAGAACATGACAGCTGTGTGCATACACAGAAGCACTAACAGAGGGCTCTGCTGAGATTTAAATAATAGGAGCATATTGCTGAACACCAACAGCTTAACATCTACTTAGGAGGGAACGACCAATGACCAGGAAGTGCTTTATTTAGAAAATGGCCTCACATGCTTCATCCCTCCTCCTATCTACCTATCTCTGTAGCCACCAATCTGTCTGATCTTCTTGCTGCCTTATCCTAAAAAGCATGTGAGCAGCAGACCCTAGGGAAACATCAGGGCACCTATGGCATGAAGGAAGGGTTATACTGATGAGACTACTAAAGAAGACAACAGAACAAAAATAACAAATAATCTGATAAAATACATTTTATAAAACTTTGTAGTATATCAACAATATTTTTAAAATATTGGTATTTTTTCCACCTTACATTTTTTCAGATATTTGGGCAATCTCTACCATTTCCTTATAATCCTCTCTCCCTCGCCATTTCTTAATATTGAGAGAAAGTGAAACAAATTATTCAATCTATCTATCTATCTACCAACGAGTATGCGTGCATACTCTTGCTGTCTGTAACTTTTGGAAATCAGTCTATCATAAGTTAGAAAGCCTCCATGGATTTTCATCTCTATATTGACCTAGCATGGAATCATAAAAGATTTTTTTTTTTTTTGCTAAGAGGGCAGCTGGAGGGCAAAAAAGAATGATCTTGCTATTTGTTAGCCATGACAAGTGATGGTGAAGAAAATACCATGCATCATTCACAAATCATGTGGGCAACAGCAGACATATAACAGGCCTGGGTCAACAAAGGGTATTGGGACAGTTCCTCGGATTGTCACAAAAGTAGCCAATCAATCTTTCCCCAAAGTCAGAAACCACATTGCAAGCCCTTACCTTGGAGGGCCTGTAAGCTATGAGTCTGTACGATAATGCAGAGCTGCAGGACCAGCTGTGGAGCACTTTCCAGAAAGGTGGCTAGCAAATGCAGCATACTCACATCAGCATACTCATACACCATTTTCCAGTAAAACCTCCATCTGTCATTCTCCCCACTCTGTCGGCTTCGAATACCTAAGTATATTGTGTGGAAATATCTGGAAAGAAAACATGGAAAACAGGAAAGAGATGTATGATCATTTGCAATTCAAACTCCAGGGTTATTTTTCTTTTCTGCAATCCCCCTTCTTCAAGCAAGTACATGAAACGATGAACTTGATGGCTTTTCACCTACACCCTAAAGTTGACTGCATAGTGGTACCCTTATTCTTCAATGCTCACTTGGAGAAGTCACTGCAACTTTGGTTCTCCTGAAAGGCAGTCCACTGAGTTGCACTGTGACGAAGCATAAGGTGCATGTGGTGGAAACTCAGGTGAAGAAAGGATTTGCTTTTTTATTTGTTGATCTTTTAGAATTTGCTACTTCAAAAAACTACATACGTTCTTTTTTGTGGGTTCCTCTATATGCCCAACAGGATTTATGAAGTGAATTTCTTCTAAGACATAACACAGACCTGAACTACTAAAAGGTATCTGCTTATAAACCTTCCCTATTTATCTTTTTTGTTTGTTTGTTTTTTGGACAGGCAGAGTTAGAGAGAGAGAGAGAGAGAGAGAGAAAGAGAAAGGTCTTCCTTCCATTGGTTCAACCCCCAAATGGCTGCCATGGTCGGCACGCTGATCCAAAGCCAGGAGCCAGGTGCTTCTTCCTGGTCTCCCATGTGGGTGCAGGGCCCAAGCACTTGGGCCATCCCCCACTGCACTCCCGGGCCACAGAAGAGAGCTGGACTGGAAGAGGAGCAACCAGGACAGAATCTGGTGCCCCAACCAGGACTAGAACCCATGGTACCAGCGCCGCAGGCAGAGGATTAGCCAAGTGAGCCGTGGTGCCAGCCCCCTATTTATTTTTAAAATGAAAAATTCTTATTACTGAAAATCCCACATATGCACAAGGAGAAAAAAATTAGGGTAATGAAACCACTGTATTCTTCACTGAGATTAAGTAATTGCCAGTTTATTTTCAATCTTTTTTTCATTTATCCTACCTACATATCATTTTGAAGTAAACCTCTGACAGCACATTATTTCATTTGTAAATGTTTCTGTAAAAATAATTTAAAAGCCAAACCATTATCACACTTTATAAACAGTGACAATAATTTCATAATATCAAATACTCGGGTTTTGATTTTTCCAATTATTATAATTTTTAAAGTTTCTTTAAAATGCAGTTTAAACATGATACACACATCATGATTATTTGATATGAATCTTTTTATTTGGGAGACAGAAGAGGGGGAGACAGACATGCACACACACACACACATACACACAGAGGGAGAGAGAGAGAGAGAGGGAGGGTGAGAGAGAGATTTACTCCACAAATGACAGCAACAGCCAGGGAGCCAAAGTTGGGAGGCGGGAACTCAATTCATCTCATAAGCAGGTGCTAGGAACCCAACTACTTGATCCATCACATCACTACTGCTGGAAGCTGGAGTCAGGAGCTGGAGCCAAGTGTTCAACCTCCAAATGGGATGCAGGCATCTTAATTGGCATCTTAACCCCTAGGCCAAACAACTACCCCAATATGTATCTTTTCTTTTAAGTAAAGATTTTATTTATTTAATTGAAAGACAGACCACACACACACACACACACACACACTTTCCATATGCTGGTTTTCTCCCCAAATGATCATAACAGTTAGGCCTGGAACAAGCTGAAGCAAGGAGCCAGGAATTCCATCCCAGTCTCTCATGTGGGAGGCAGGAACTCAAGTGCTTGGGCCATCATCCGCTGTCTCTCTGCTTGCATTAGCAGGGAGCTGGATCAGGAGCAGAGTAGCTAGGACTTGAACTGGCACTCTGACATGGGATGTGGGTGTGCCAAGTGTCTGCTTAACCTGTTGCACCACCAGAACACGTGCCACCTGATATGTATCATAAGCTTCTTTTACTTCACAGATTCTCCTTCTATTTCTCTGATTTCTTGCATATTTTTCATTGTCTTGATTTTGATGACTGTATTCACAGGCATGTTTTATGTATCTATCCTTTGTGTTTTCTGCAAATGCGTAGTTAGTGCTAGAATTTTGATCAGATTCAAGTTTGATCATTTTTGGCAGGTGATGTTGTGTACTTTCATCAGGAAGCACATCATCATTAGTTGTTTTCTTTGATGTTATCATCCATTGATGGTATCGCAATCAGGGTCGGAAAATGGTGATAGTCTGAGTTCATCACTCTCCATTATTTACCAGTGAGAATACTTTCCCAGCCCTTTTGTCAATGTCTCTGCAATATTTGCTTGTCAGAAGCTTGCTGTCTACCTGGATGGCTCAAGGAAAGCACATAGGGACAGCATTGCCCGACTCCTTGCATATTGACAACCAATACGCAGTTTTCAGATGGTTCCTTTGCTTCTGCAGATTCTAAAGTTTCAAGAGATTTAGCCGGAGATTGGTGCCCACTTTAGAGTCTGTGAAAGGACAGAACATGGGCAATGCAGAGATACTTAGATCCCAAGAGTGAAGGGCAGTGGAGAAACAGCAAACAAGTGCAAGACTAGAAAAGCCTGAGCAGCCTTTTCACTGGAAGGTCAAGTTGGATGGATGCAAAATTCATGCATATTCTATGCAAGGCAAGATCAACAATTTATTCATTGGAGCATTTAAAATCTGTTATTTCACTGTTTGCTAGCATCATATGTTGTCATGGCAAAGTCTGATGAAAATCTGATCCTCTTTCTCCTGTAAGTTACTTGACCTTTTTGCTTGGATGCCTAAAGAATATTTTATTTCTTTTTAAAGACCTCTAGTTTTCTTAGAATGTATCCTGACACTGGCTCTTCTGCATCAATTTTCTCAGGAGTACAGTCTTACTGGTCATTAAAAAGACTTAAGTTTCAATAAATAAAGTTGTCTTGAATTACAGGGTGCAGTATTTTTGTTATAATCCATTACCTTCATCTTCTTCCTTGAGAATTCCTATTTACATATGTTCTGGTGTCTTCCCCTTCTACAAGTTTTTCTGAATCCTTTTCATCTTCAATATATTTTCTTCCTTTCCATCTGCTATTTATATTCTAACTCTGGTGTTTGACTAGTATCATATCCCTTCTAGTTGAATTTTCAATTCTGACCTGCTTTTCTAAAATTAAAATTCTATATTGAGTCCTATCATCCTTCTTTTCAAAATCACAATTTCTCTAGACACTTTTTTCCTAAAATTTTCTAATTCTGACTTACAATGTTTTTAAATAGCTCTTATAGTTTTCATAGTTTCTTTCAGCTCATTTTGAAATATTGGCTTATGTTTTTTTCCCTGTTTTGTGCATATGCTTCTTTCTGTTGTGTTTTCATTGCAAAACATTTTTTGTTTTCATACTTTCTTTTCTGGTAGCAGTTTTGATCCTTATCTTGTTAGTTTGGATATTTTATACTTGTGGTGGGGTGGGACTTGTGCATTGGGACAGCTTGCTGGTTTCACAGCTCTAGACATTGTTTCTCTGCTGTCCTCCTGAGTGATGACTTGTGACATTTTGGAATCACAGACCTCTGTTCCCCATCTTCTCCCTTTTCTTTGGACCTTTTCTTTCATTCCTATGGTTGTTTCTGTTGTGCTCATCTGGGGATCCATTCCCAGCAGATTCTTTTGATGTGGAGCATTGTCTCGAAAGAGTGTTTATTAGTTAATGAGATTAAGGAGCCAGACTCATCCCATAACATCAGATTGTCAGGTTTTATTGCATTGTGACCCCCTTGGACTTAACCTCTTGTTGGATCATTGAGCTGATATCCCAGTCTCTCTTCTGTTCCTCCAACGGCCCTGTGCACTTCCAGTGAGTGTCTGTTGGTGAATAGGGTAGGTCTTCCCTTCTTAAGGTCTTGTCTTGTTGATTTCATATAAACCTTAAAAACTGTCGTTAATTTGTCTCCAGGTAATTGTGGGTATGGCTCAGCCCTGAATTTTATCACAGGTATTGTCTATGATTCCTTAGTTTTGCCAATCTAATTGCTCTGCATATTTTAAATGGGATAATTTTGGTAGATTGAAAATCTATGGGTGCCAGTGCTGTGGCATAGTGGGTAAGGCTGCTGCCTGTTGGGCCCCATATGGGTGCCAGTTCGAGTCCCGGCTGTTCTACTTCCAATCCAGCCCTCTGGTGTGGCCTGGGAAAGCAGTAGAAGATGGACCACGTGCTTGGGCCCCAGCACCCGCACAGGAAGACCTGGAGGAAGCTCCTGGCTCCTGTCTTTGGATCAGCTCAACTCAGGCCGTTGCGGCCAACTAGAGAGTGAACCAGCAGATGGAAGACCTCTCTTCCTCTCTCTGCCTCTCCTTCTCTCTCTGTGTAACTCTGCCTTTCAAATAAATAAATAAATCTTTAAAAAAAATCTATGTTGCCACTGCCACTATATTTGTATAATACTGTCATTTTAAATTACAGAACAAGTAACTTGGGACACAGACTGCTCTGCAGCAGCTATAAGGTGAAGTTTGCTTTATGCAGGATATGGGAATTTCAGTGCTTTTCTAAGCAGACCATTGTCTCTCCCCCTGTTCCACAATTGCAGTTTCTGATCAGTGCAGTGCCAGCTGCTGGTGTTTCCTTTCTTATACTTCCAGCCCTTTTCATAGACTCGTTCTTTTTCCTGGAATAGCTTTTCTTGCATCTTGACTCAAAGACTCCGTTTGGTATTAACAATCTCCATTCAGTCATCACTGTGATCCCTCAGTTCTCCATGCACGGGAATGCCTTCCTCTACTTCCTGGTATTGGTTTCCTAAGGCTGTTTTACCAAAGTACTGAAAACCGGTGGCATGAACACAAGAAACCTATTATCTCCAGTTCTGCAAACTAGAAATCTAAGATAAAGATATCAGTTTGTCCTTATGAAGGCCATAGGAAATATCTTACGCCTGTCTCCTCTCAGTTCCAATGGTTTGCTGACAATCTTTGGTATCAACAGTTTGAAGTGCATCAGTGCAATCTCAGCCTTCATCTTCACATGGCCTTCTCCCTGTGTGTGTCCATTTCTGTATCTAAATTCCTGCTTTTTATAACCACATTTCATATTTAGGACTTACTCCAGT